ACACACTCTCTCCCACACACACTCACACACATTCACACACATTCACTCATACACACACACACACACTCACGCCGAACTTGTTCGTGAACAGTGCTTGTTTTTCTCTCTTATCAGCTGTAGTTGTGTTATCGGCATTAAAACAAAGCAGGTCACTGCACTGTAATCTGTGACGTACAGCAGCCGAGTGTTTACAGATGCTGAGGAACGAGCAGAAAGCAGACGAGATCTTCACGTCTCACTGAACTGCTGCTGCTGCTGCTGTCCAGACTCCAGGTTGTGAAATACATCAGTAAGGCGCATTAGCGCTGGCCAGTAAACAGCCTGCGGAAACTACTGACTGCACAAAACCCAGCAGAAGAACACACAAAACCAGACGGAACCAGACCTGTGGGCTTGTTTGGGTCTGGATCAACCGTTTGGACTCCAGCACTATCATATTCAAAAGCACCAGGACTTTTACAGTTGTTTGTGATTTACTGCATCAGGATTTCTACAAACATTTTCACACAATTTCTGCCTGACAAATTTTTTTTTAAATGTACATTCATTATAAATTAAATTATAAATTACAAACATCATAAAAAGATTGTGTTAATTCCATGACTTTTCCGGTTCAACAGCTGTTGAGGAGGTGAATTAAAATAGAAATAGAAATATCTTGATTTTTTGTTGTTTTGGCAGTAATACTTTACAACAAGCTTTCAATTGTTAACATTAGTTAATGCATTAGTTAACATAACATCCTCATGCTCCCGGAGCTGCTTCAGTGTACAACTGCTGGCGCAAGCTAGATTAAAGTGATTATTACGTTTTAAATATGGATATTTTTCTTACAAAAACGCATCGATTCGCTACAGGAGGACTTTGTTCACCCCCCGGAGCCGTGTGAGACACTTTTTTTTATGGATGGGTGCTTTTTATTTCACTTCTTTTGGACTGATGCATGCAACACCCGCTGAGTGCCATGAAACAGCTTGAAAGATCAAAAACAATTTTTAATATAACTCCAACTGGATTCGTCTGAAAGAAGAAAGTCATATACACCTAGGATGACTTGAGGGTGAGTAATTTATGGGCTAATTTTCATTTTTGGGTGAACTAACCCTTTAATGAAATGCTGAATTTCCAGTATACTTTACTGTACCGATCAAAAGTTTGTTTTTGAAAGAAGTCTCTCCTGCTCACCAAGGCTGCATTTATTTGATTAAAATTACAGTAAAAATTATGAGATATTATTACAATTTAAAACAGCAGTTTTCTATGTGAATATCTGTTAAACTGTAATTTATTTCTGTGATGCGCAGCTGTATTTTCAGCATCATTACTCCAGTCTTCAGAGTCACATGATCTTCAGAAATCACTGTTCACTCACCAGCGTACATGTGGAAGGTCAGCCGCTCGATGAGCTTCAGCACCGTTCCGGCTTTGATGATGGGAATGCCGGATTTGGACTGGACGTTCTCCTCGAACACGACGTTCTCCTCGGAGTCGGGCTGGGCGAAGCGGTACACCTCGGCCCCGGGGAGCCTCATCTGCTCTTCCTTCTCCTCCTGCAGCATGGCCGTGTCCAGCATGCGCTCCAGCGTGGAGCAGTACTGCAGCGAGATCAGCGCCGCCATCCAGCCGTTCTTCTCCTCCGCAGATTTAGCGGCAAACACCACGCTGTTCCCGTCCTTCAGGATGATCTCGAAGGCGTGCCGGTACTCGCCCTCCTTATCGTCCTTGTCATTGATCTGGACCTGTTCAAGAACACGTGAGCGTTTAGAACGTTTACTTTGAATGTGATGTTTTGCCAGAATTTTTTTTTTGTTTGTTTTAAATCAAGAAAATATTAGCAAATGTGACAACCAGGGCTGTCGATTTAATGTGTTAATTTGGTGCGATTAATTACGGAAAAAATAACACATTAAAAGTCCGTCATCTTACATCGATGAACCGATCAACATGATGCAGGATGACTGACTGACTGAACGAATCAAGTTTTGAATGAATCAAGTGAGCGAATGATTCAGTGACTCATTAAAAAAAACTTAAAAATTTGCTTTGTTTCTGAATGAATCAGCCGTTTGAACAAATCGATTGAATGAATGATTCAATGACTTACTTTAAAAAAAAAAATAATATCAAATTTCAATATTCAATTTAAAAAACTAATTAAATCAATGTTGAATCAAAATGTTTCCTTCTAAAGATACTTTTTGTAATGTCTATTCAAAGGTTTTCTCATCTAACACAATAATGACTTTAAATTTTCAGGGTGTAATTTCTCAGCCAAAATTAATGTGATTAATTAATTAGCAAATCATGTAATAAATTAGATTCAAAATGTTACAATTAGACATACTGACAACAGTGTTGGGGAAAGTTATTTTTGAAAGTAATGCATTACAATACTGTGTTACTCCGTAAAAGAGTAACTAATTGCATTACTTGGTTACTTTTTTAGAAAAGTAATGTGTTACGGTACTTTTGCATTACTTTTTCTCATCTTGGCTGGCCTCATTTTTTGCTCTTTAGCCTGATTTCTCTCAACATGAGCACAGGAGAGCTGTCAGTCAATACATGAGGAAACAAAGTAACTGGCGTAACTTGTTTGAAAAAGTAACTCCGATATTTTCGTGTAAATTAAAAAGTAATGCATTATTTTACTAGTTACTTGAAAAAGTAATCTGATTACATAACTCAAGTTACTTGTAATGCGCCACCCCCAACACCGCTGACAATACACCAATGATAACAGTTGATCGGAATAAAGATGTATCAAAAAAAAAAAAAAAGACCTACCAAAAATGACAAAAACACACCACAAAATTACTAAACCTTTAACTAAAATTAAAATGGAAAGACATAAAAATAATATGTAAACATATGTCAGGCGCATGTTTACATATAAAAGCAACGGAAAAGCAGAAAGCTGCGCAGAACTACTACTGTATGTCTGATGTTTGATATTTGTGCATGATTCTGACAGACTAAAGTCTGCTGATATTTTCATTTACTGTTAATAATCATCTTGACTTTTTGAGTTGACCTCTAAAGCTAAATGTCTACATTTTGTCTCGGAAATATTTAGCATGTTTCTTATTTTATATTATTTATGAACATACAGGATGTGTTTAAGACAATATTTGCCTTCATATTTCATGATTTATTTATTTTTTTGCAAAGATATTTAACAAATAATTGACATAAAATGACATGAGTCATTGAATCATTCATTTAACCGATTCGCTGAAACGGCTGATTCATTCAGAAACTAAGCAAGTGACTGTTTTTATTAATGAGTCACTGAATCATTCGCTCACTTGATTCATTCAAAGCTGTGGATTCATTCATTCAGTCGTCCTGCATCGTGTCGATCAGTTCATCATTGACGGGTGTGTTAAATGCATTAATCATATGATCATATTTTTGCAATAATTAATCGCACCAAATTAACACGTTAGATAATTGTAACGTTTGCTAATATTTTACTAGTTACTTGAAAAAGTAATCTGATTACATAACTCAAGTTACTTGTAATGCGCCACCCCCAACACCGCTGACAATACACCAATGATAACAGTTGATCGGAATAAAATGTAAAAAAAAAAAAAAAAAAAGACCTACCAAAAATGACAAAAACACACCACAAAATTACTAAACCTTTAACTAAAATTAAAATGGAAAGACATAAAAATAATATGTAAACATATGTCAGGCGCATGTTTACATATAAAAGCAACGGAAAAGCAGAAAGCTGCGCAGAACTACTACTGTATGTCTGATGTTTGATATTTGTGCATGATTCTGACAGACTAAAGTCTGCTGATATTTTCATTTACTGTTAATAATCATCTTGACTTTTTGAGTTGACCTCTAAAGCTAAATGTCTACATTTTGTCTCGGAAATATTTAGCATGTTTCTTATTTTATATTATTTATGAACATACAGGATGTGTTTAAGACAATATTTGCCTTCATATTTCATGATTTATTTATTTTTTTGCAAAGATATTTAACAAATAATTGACATAAAATGACATGAGTCATTGAATCATTCATTTAACCGATTCGCTGAAACGGCTGATTCATTCAGAAACTAAGCAAGTGACTGTTTTTATTAATGAGTCACTGAATCATTCGCTCACTTGATTCATTCAAAGCTGTGGATTCATTCATTCAGTCGTCCTGCATCGTGTCGATCAGTTCATCATTGACGGGTGTGTTAAATGCATTAATCATATGATCATATTTTTGCAATAATTAATCGCACCAAATTAACACGTTAGATAATTGTAACGTTTGCTAATATTTTATTCAAAACCTCAATTCCTAGATTAAAAAAAAGCGAATATTACTTGAATCGTGTTGTAGTGTCATTTTAAGTTGACTAGTTAAATGTAAAAAACAAAATCGAAAACATTTCCTGCCGTCTGCTCACCTTCCTCATGAAGAACTTCTCTTTGAGCCGGTACTCGGCGGCGCTGGCTCCCGGCAGACGCGGCTGGCCGTGGTTGGACTTGCAGCAGATCATGAGGCCGTCGAAGAGGAAGATGTGGCGCTCGTGTTTGGCGCCGACCCGCGTGAGCGTCCCCTCCATGATGAACTCGTTGCAGCACTGGCCGATGTCTTTGCCCTCCCAGCCGTCGATGTTCCTCTGGATCTCATTCATCTTCTTGATGGCCAGATGTTTGCCCTTCATCTGCTGACTGTAGAAGCGGCACGCCGACTCGCTGAGAGACACAGGACAGACGACGGCAGAAAAACAGGTTTGATGAGCTGAAACTCATTCTGAACTCCCAAGATCGATCCTTTAGTCTGTGCTGCTCTCAGTTGATTCCTGAACTCTACTAAACTTAATCTGTAGCGCCTGTAAGTTACTTCTGATTTGAGCTTACAGTTTCTCTCAGTTTTATCATTAAATGTGTTTTTGTCCCTCTGTAACATGTGCTGTCAGATCACTGATCATCTCTTCCTCTTTACTACTAGTTATAGCACCAAATAAACATGAACGAGCATCAAAAGAACTCACTGAAATCAATCATGAATCATGTAATCGATCAATCAGTGTTTCAATCGCCGAAAGACATCAATAAATCAGCTTGAGATCAATAATGTCACGTAACATCATATTTATCTCAGAAAAGACATTCGGTAAACATAAACTTGATATTTATGACTCTACAGTACAATAAAGCATTTTGATAAATATATGCACTGTATGACATATTCATTATATTTTACTTAAACTACTGTCTTTATTATTGAATGTATGTTTGAATAAATGTGCCATGAAAACAAGTTTTTACTACATACACTGGTTAAATGTTTGTTTCAACAACGAATTGGAGTAGAAACATAACTGTTATTTAAAAGTTGACTTAAAATCTGCCTTATGTGCAATTAAAATTGATTATTATAATTAAACAAAAACAAATAGCAATTTAATATTTGAATTTAATAGTTATTTAATAGGATATTTAATTAGTAATTAATTAGTCATTTAACAGAATTTAATAGGACTCTGTTGTTAATTTTAACCCTTATTATATTAATGTACCAACTAATTGATTTTTATATTAGTATATTTGAAATATTATTATAGTTTCTATTAATATTTTGAATTCATTTTTATTTTTTTATTTTAGTTCGTTTTTGTTTTTATAATTTTTATTTATTTATTTTTTAACATGTCTATATAGTTTTCATAATTTTAGTTATTTCAGTTCATCAAATTAAACTAAAGGAAAATGAGAAATGTAGTCTTGGCAACTAGCTGAAATATAATCAATATTTTCTTTTATTTTTTAGTTATTTTAAGTAATAAAACTGTTTTGTTATGGTTTTAGTTAGCTATAATAACACTATTTCAGAGACTGTTTTCTTTAAGAAAAATTGACATTTTCTGCACCGAATTAATATGAAATTGAGTCAGAATCAAATCAAAGAGCTTGTGAATTCGAATCAAAATCTGTGTCAATACCCAGCAATAATACCCAGTGTGTGTGTGTGTGTGTGTGAGTGTGAGTGTGTGTGTGAGAGTGTCTGTGTGTCTGTGTGTGTGTGTGTATATGTGTGTGTCTGTGTGTGTTTGTGTGTATGTGTCTGTGAATAAGTACGTGTATGTTTGTGTGTGTGTGTGTGTGTGTGTGTGAGTGAGTGAGTGTGTGTGTGTGTGAGTGTCTG